AAAGAAGGGTGAAAAAAGTGGAAAAGAAAGAAAGAAAGAAAAGAAAGAAAGAATCAAAAAAACAAAGAGGGGAATGAAAAAGATAGGATCACAAAAAAATAGCAGAAGTCTAAAAGTAACAAAATGATAAAAAAATGAAAACCTGAGACACAGATAAAAAAGAAAAAAAAGAAGAAGAAAAGGAAGAAAAAATAAAGACGAAAACCTTAAGAGAAAAAGAATTAAAGATGAAAACTCTTATATATCGTCCCTATGAACACTAATCGACATGTTCCAATCCACATAAATACGTTGGACACTATTGTAAGTGCGGTTAATATGATAATTAGTCCACCACTAGCAGTAGTTTACCTACTTCATGTCGCTGGCGAGTATTGTATTTTGTTGATGTTTTAAAGATTATCATTTCATTTGCGACCTCCGTTTGGTTATTCCCCATTCAGTAACCTTTTCTAGATTACAACAAAAAGATAGAAAGAAAAAGTGATGGAGCGCAAAAGAATGTAAACGAAAGAAAGAGGCAAAGATGGATGAATATAAAAGACAAGAAGAAAAAAGAGGAAACTAAAAAGAGAGAGGGAAACACAGAGGAAAACACAGATGGAAAGATGTCAAGAAAAAGAAAGAAAGAATGAAAGAGAGAAAAGGATGAAAATAAATAAATATAAACGAGAACAGAGACGAAAAAGAACAGATAATTGGAAAGAAAGAAAAAAGAAAGAAAGAAAGAAAGATAGATAGATAGATAGATAGATAGATAGATAGATAGATAGATATTTTGAGCCTAAAATAAATAGAAAACAATATAGAGAGATGGAAAGGACGAATAAAACAATTAAGAAAACAAAGAAAAAAATAAAGGAAGAAGACAACGAAACCTGGACAGAAAAATAAAATAAAAGAAAGACTAAAGAAAAAAAGAGAAAAAAAACTAAGGGAAGGAAGAAGAAAGAAAGAAATCAGGAGGAAAGTAGCAATGTATACATCAGTTATGCTGAATAATTCTTTGCTCAATCCCCCAAAAGCACTTCATTAACGGCAAATTTCTGATGTTTAGTCATTTGATAAAATGTTAGGAAGGGGCTTGCGCTGACCATTTTACAGCACCCTCTTATAAAGAGAAAAAACGATTTGTCTTTGAAAAGAAATGATATAAATGTACAAGAAAGAAGGAAATGGTTAAAGAATAAAAAAAGACGAACAGAAAGAAAGAAAAAATGAAAATAACTAGCAAAATCAAAGGAAGAAAGTATGAAGAAAAGAAAAAACAAAGGAAAGAAAGGCGAACGAAAAAACAAGAAAGACAAAAAAGAAGATGATTAAAGAAGAAAAGACATCAGATAGGAATGACGGGAAAAAGTAAATAAATCGAAAGAGAAAAAGTAAATAAATCGAAAGAGAAAAAGTAAATAAATCGAAAGAGAAAAACATAAACAAAAAAGAAAAGAAAAAGTATACGAAATAGTAAAGAGAAAAATCAAACAGAAATAAAAGAGAAAAACTTAACAAATCAAAGAGAGGAAAACTTTAAAAAATCGAAAGAGAAAAATTAAGCATAAACAAACTTCGAAAAGAAAAAAATGTCAGCCGATTGAAAAGCGGAAATGTAAACCAAAAATCAACAATGAAAAATTAACCATGTCGAAGGAGGAAAGAGTAAATAAAACTCGAAAAAGAGAAAAGTCTAACAAATTGTAAGGGAAAAAGAAAAAACAAGTTGAAGGGAAAAAAGAAAAATGTAAACAATTCGAGAGAAAACGTAAGTAAGAAAAAAGAAGAGAAAAGTAAAAAGAAAAAATAAACGAAGTCGAAAAGAGAAAACGTAAACAAATCGAAGGAAGAAAAGTAAACAAAACTCTATAAAAAAAAGAAAACAATTCCAAGAAAGAAAAGTAAACAAAAATAGAAAAAAAGGATAAGATAACAAAATCGACAGAAAAAAAGTTACAAAAACAAAAAATTGTGAAAATCGAAAGAGAAATAGAATTAAGAACGACATTCTTTATGTATGAGGACATGGTAATATGAATGAAAGAAAGGAAAGAATGAAAGAAAGAAAGAAAGAAAGAAAGAAAAGAAAGAATGAATGAAAGAAAGAAACAGAAAGAAAGGAAGAAAAAAAAGAAAGAAACAGAAAAAAAGGAAGAAAAAGAAAGAAACAGAAAGAAAGGAAGAAAAAAGAAAGAAAAAGAAAGAAAGAAAGAAAGAAAGAAAAGATGGAAAAGAAAGGATGAAAGAAAGAAAGAATGAATGAAAGAAAGAAACAGAAAGAAAAGAAAAAAAAGGAAAGAAAAATAAAGAAAAGAAGGAAAGAAAGGATAAAAGAAAGAATGAATGAATGAAAGAAAGAAACAGAAAGAAAGGAAGAAAAAAGAAAGAAAAAGAAAGAAAACGAAAGAAAAAAAGGAAAGAAAGGATGAAAGAAAGAATGAATGAAAGAAAGAAACAGAAAGAAAGAACGAAAGAAAGAAACAGAAAGAAAGTAAGAAAAAAGAAAGAAAAAGAAAGAAAACGAAAGAAAAGAAAGAAAGAAAGGATGAAAGAAAGAAAGAAAGAATGAATGAAAGAAAGAAACAGAAAGAAACGAAGAAAAAAGAAAGAACGAAAGAAAGAAACAGAAAGAAAGGAAAAAGAAAGAAAGAAAGAAAGAAAGAAAGAAACAGAAAGAAAGGAAGAAAAAAGAAAGAACGAAAGAAAGAAACAGAAAGAAAGGAAGAAAAAAGAAAGAACGAAAGAAAGAAACAGAAAGAAAGAAAGAAAACGAAAGAAAGAAAGAAAGAAAGAAAGAAAGAATGGATGAAAGAAAGAAAGAATGAATGAAAGAAAGAAACAGAAAGAAAGGAAGAAAAAAGAAAGAAAGAAACAGAAAGAAAGGAAAAAGAAAGAAAGAAAGAAAGAATGAAAGAATGGATGAAAGAAAGAAAGTAAGACAGAAAAAGACATAAAGAAATGGTGACAGAAAATTAGGAATGAAGAAAGGAAGAAACTTTCACGAATAGATCGAAATGGAAGGCACAGAAAAATTCGAAAGGAGTTAAAAGGAAAAGGAGAGACGAGGAAAGAAAAAGGAAGAACAAAAGAGGGGGAAAGAAAATACAGAATCCAAACGAAACAATGAAAAAAAAAAAAAGAAAAGCAAAAGTAATACGAAAGAAAAAGAAATATGATATGTAGACAGCAAGAAATACAAGAAGGAAGATAAGAAAAAAATAGATAAAATTGAAATATAAACTTGGAGTGGGGAGAACGTATAGGAGGAAGGAAACGAGGGAAACGACGAAAAGAATGAAAAAAGAAAATGAAGAAAAAGAAAGAAATCGCAGAAGAAACAGAAGAGAAACAAAATATAAAAAGGAAACTAAAAACATAAAAAAGCTTTAAGCAAACGAGAGGCAAATGAATAAATGAACAGAATAAGAAAAATAGATTCATATTCAGTCTGCAAACCTTTCATCTTTTTTCTTTCTTTCTTTCTTTCTTTCTTTCATTTTCTTTTTTCTTTCTTTCTCTTTCCATTTTTTTTTCTTTCTTTCTCTTTCCATTCTTTTTTTCTTTCTTTCTTTCTTTCTTTCTTTCTTTCTTCTACCTTTCTTTCTTTTTCTTTTTCTTTTCTTTCGCTTTCCTTTCTTTCTTTTTTCTTTCTTTCTTTTTTCTTTCTTTCTTTCTCTTTTCTTTCTTTGTTTCTTTTTTCTTTCTTTGTTTCTTTGTTTCTTTCTTTCTTTTACCTTTCTTTCTTTCTCTTTCCTTTCTATCTCTTTCCTTTCTTTTTTCTTTTCTTTCTTTCTTTCTTTTACCTTTCTTTCTTTTTCTTTCTCTCTTTTTGCTTTTTCCTTTCTTTCTCTTTCCTTTCTTTCTTTTTTCTTTCTTTGTTTCTTTTTTCTTTCTTTCTTTCTTTCACTCTTTTTTCTTTTTCTTTTTCCGTTTTTCTCTTTCCTTTCTTTCTTTTTCTTTCTTTCTTTCTTTCTTTCTTTTACTTTTCTTTGTCTTTTTCCTTTCTTTTTTTCTTTCTTTCTTTCTTTCTTTCTTTCTTTCTTATACTTTTCTTTCGTTTTCTTTCTCTCTTTTATCTTTTTCTTTTTCCTTTCTTTCTTTCTTTCTTTCTTTCTTTCTTTCTTTCTTTCTTTCTTTCTTTCTTTCTTTTCTGTTTCTTTCTGTACCAAGCTAGTTCCTTCGCATCTGTATTCAAGAAGATGCAAGATTATTAAGTAATCCTCTTAAAAAAAATATTGCATAAGCCATAAAAAACGTTTACGCTGTATTTTATATTCATTCTTGTAAATCTTTCTCATTCATTATCTTTGCTTGCTTGCGTATTATCGTCCGCTACAAAATCTATGATGCCCTGCCATTCTTATTCTATTAATCTGAATTAAACCAGAACAGGAATGGAATAGACCGTGGCAGAGAAGAATAATAAAGAACAGCGTCTTTGCTTTTTTCCGAATATCGATCGGAGATAGTTAAAGAAGACGGAATCAGGAAAATTTAGAATATATATATATATATATATATATATATATATATATATATATATATATATATATATATGTGTGTGTGTTGTGTGTGTGTGTGTGTGTGTGTGTGTGTGTGTGTGTGTGTGTTGGAATAAGGAAAAGATTTATGAAATTGAAAAAAAAAGTCAAACGTTCAAGGCGTTTTATTAAATTCTTGACAATTTTCACAAAGACTGAATCATGTCCGTAAAGAATTCATCGAATAATATATATATATATATATATATATATATATATATATATATATATATATATATATATATATAAGAACGAGAAAAGCCAAGAAAAGAAAATGAAGCAGAGAAGGTGAAGCAAAAAGAGATCGACTAAAACAAGAAGACATAGATAGAATAAAGCAAAGGGAGAAAGTGATGGGGCCATTTTAAACCAGAGTTAGAAAAAGAGAAGAATGGTAGAACTATAGTTAAGCTAAGAGAGAGTAAAACAAAGAAAGTAGGATTGAGAGAGAGAGAGAGAGAGAGAGACAGACAGACAGACAGATAGAGAGAGACAGACAGAGAGACATACTAATGCTAAAATAAGAAAAATAGTGGGTGAGAATGAATTACATAAGGTTTAAAACAATAAGAGAGGGAGTAATGCAAAGACAGAGAATATGCGAGAGAGAGAGAGAGAGAGAGACAAAAGCAAAGAAATAAAAATGTAAGTCAGAAATCGAGAGAGTAAAGCATAATGACATTACATACAGAGAGAGAGAGTGTGTGTTAAGCAAAGGGAGAGGAAAGAAAAAAGCAAACAGAGAGAGAGAGAGTGAGAGAGAGTCAGTGAGTAAAAAAAAGAAAAGAAAAGCAAGATTAAAAAAGACGAGAAAACTAAAGAAGATACACGATGAAGTATGACATCTGAGAGGTTGAATTATTTGAGTGAAGGTAGTATTTTATTTAAAGTAACGAGGAGTTGAGAAAAAGCAGAATATTCTTTTTTATATATATATTTGTCCTTTTCTGGAATACCAAAAAAAAAAAAATTTTTTTTCTTTTTCAGAGAAAAAAATGTCGTTTCTACTAAGCACGGCGGAATATTAGTTATAAAAAAAATAAAAATTAAAATTAATAAAATCCTAAAAGTATGCTGTGAAGGCAGGAGAACAAAAAAAATCTATTAATAACAATAAAAAAAAACAAAAAAAAAACACCTGAACTGAAAATTACTCGATGTGAAGCGGCATGGCGTAGCAAAAACCGCTGAAACGGGCAGTGGAGAAATACACGGTCTCTTCATGTCGGTCGGATGTCGAACAAGTCAGTTCGTACTGCGTCCCAAGGCTTAGCAGGTCCAGGCGTTGTACAAAAATGTAAAACATTATTTAAGAAAAAAAATGTGAAAAAAAAAGATGAAGAAGCAAATTCAGAAGTACGAATAAACCCACTCACTTGCTATTTTATACACTCCTGACAAGGCATGAATCCAGTTCTTCCTGGCAAATATCTTGATAAATAAGTCAGGTATTAACATGCCACAAAATTATTAGCAGATCAAAAAAAAAAATTGCGTATGAAAGAACACTTGGACAAATCCCTCTCCCATAAAAGCACACAAATAAAAAGGGGTTGACTCCATAGGTAACCTTCACAAGTAAGCCTCGTCACTGACATGTCACAGCATGCCTTTGAGCAAAGATTAAACCTTGTATGACATGTATGGTATATTTTATACAAACAAAAATAACAAAAAAACCTGAATAAACCACTTTCCCAAAACATTTCATAATGATCTAAATAAGTTGGCAAGCAATAACAAGAAGATGTAAGCAGTGGTACCAACCTAACTTGCCTATATTGCCGTCTTTCCGATTTGCCAACTGTCTCTCCAGTTGTCACCGAATCTGTTCTTTGATCGTTATCTAGTCAATTATTAGAGGTCACTGAATTATTAGGGGTCCCATTTCGTGAAATGCATCTGTTTGATGCCTTGGTGCACATTATCAGTGATACTTTTTGATATAATGGAATATGCATACACCTGTGTCCCCCTCACTGGAATATGATTGGCTGGTGTCCGTCATAAATACCGACGGACGTGTAGGAGAGTCAAGAGTCTTAATCTGAGAGCTAAGTCTATAACGACGCCCATTGGACTCCGCCATTGATCTACACTCCTTACCTGCGACTACGACGCGTACCAGTCGATTACTGCTACCGTATTCTATAGCCTTTATAGTAGCCTTTTTTCATCATGGTATGCTTTTTTAGCTAAGGGTTGACGATGCCAAAAATATATATATATATATATATATATATATATATATATATATATATATATATATATGTGTGTGTGTGTGTGTGTGTGTGTGTCCGGAAAGGGATATATTTGAATGATACGAGATAGAACCCAGTCTTTCCTGCTATTTAACCATAGCTGGGGGAGAGAAGAGGATTCATACCTTACCCAAGGGTATTAGCACGTAAGTGAATCTAATGGATTCGACTGGAATTTGAACTCGGCTCTACAATTCCTAATTGCCTAAATTAAAAAAAGGGGACAAATATGTTCTCCCTACCAAAGTATTTTTTAGTCACTGAAAATGGTAATAATCGGTTAGTGCGAGTTTAGGGTCCGCTCCCAATAAGTGTAGATCAGTCAGTTATGTGCAGTGAGTGATACACGCTTAGGTGATCATGTATCTTTCGATAGATGACTGACGAGGCATTAGGTTGCCATTTCTTTCTACGGGAGGCCATACAAGGCTACAGAACCCGGTCTATCCTGCTATTTACCCATAGCTTAGAAGAAGAAAATTCACACCTTACCCAACGGTATTAGCACGTAAGTGAATTTCAGTCAGTTATATGCCATGCGTGATACACACTTAAGGGATTTTGTATCTTTCGATAGATGACTGACGGGGCAGATTTTTTTCCTTGCAGTAGGTTGCCATTTCTTTCTACGGGAAACCAGTTGCCACCCGAGGGGTATAGAACCCGGTCTGTCTTGCTATTTACCCTTAACTGGTGGGGGAGAAGAAGAGGATTCACACCTTACCCAAGGGTATTAGCAAGCAATTGAATGTAATGGATTCGACTGGAATTCGAACTCGGCTCCCCGATTCCTCAATCCTAGCCGCTATCCATTACTCCACTGCTACAAGACCGTATTAAAAGTTGCTCAGAATGCGAAAATTACACAGCCTTTTGGGTGGCAAGTTACTCCCTGCTCTGTCGTTACTTCCGTGGAAAGGGCTCGGACAAACTGCATTCCGTGCTTCCGCCGGTCCTAATCTTCACAGCTATGACCCGACATGATACCCACATCGTAGCAAACGATGTGAGGCGTCCTAATACTTAATTGTTGACAGAGCTGAACATAGCTAAGTGATATAATGGAATATGCATACACCTGTGTTCCCTCTCACTGGAATATGATTGGCTGGTGTTCGTCATAAATATCGACAGATACGACAGTGTCAAGAGCCTTAGTCTGAGAGATTAAGTCTATAACGACGCGTATTGACTACGTCATTGATCTACTTCTTACCTGCGACTACGCGTACCCTTAGAAAATAGCAGTAATCGACTCGATTACTGCTACTTATTTGGTTATAGTAGCCAAATCATAGCTACGTCAAATATATCCCTTTCCGGGACATATCGTCAGGGGTTTTAGGTCTTAAAATATCATTCCCTTATTCTACTGTAAATCAATCTCTTATAACACGGTAGCTGATCGGATATCGAGGAAAAGAATGACGATTGCTCATTCATTAGAAAAAGGCAAAACTGAGGTGCTCCGGGAAGCATCTGTATAGGGAATCAGTTCAAGGAATTAGCAGTTCTTGGGAAAATGCTGTTTGAGTAGAACATTTTACTAAATGGTGATTCGAATTCATCCTAGCTACAAAAGTCTAAATTCATGGAACTACAGGAATAAGTTCATTGGAACATTTCATCTACGAAAATAACCATTATCCCTATGATAGCCACCTACAACCTCGTAGTATACAAAAGTATGTAAAATAGTTTGAAATGAAATTTCGGGTCATGATTTCCTGATTACTATTAACACAAGGCGAATACTGACCCCATTATGTAAGTAAGTTTATAGGCATGCGTAAATACACTACGTTTATACACTTAGTAATAAAACCTTGAAACAGACGGACACCGAAGGGCGCACATAGACAGGCGCATGCGTATGCTAAAAAATATACAAGGAAAAAACGCGGGAATTAAATCTACGACAAAAAAAGGAAATTCATTGCAAAAAAATAGAAGACATTCCCCAATAAAGAAACATTTCTTTGATTGTAACCTCTTGATGCTTCAGAGAAACATATATGCCTGCGTTCCGTTATGAACTTATTTTTTTTTGGGGTGGGGGGGGTTGTGCATCTTATCTCCAAAACTCTTCTTTCTTTCTTTCTTTCTTTCTTTCTTTCCTTCTTTCTTTCTTTCTTTCTTTCTCCACCGACTCACTCAGACTTACACATACACAATTCTTTTCTATTTCGTTTTCTTTTCACGTTTTTAACAATTTGACTGAATCACCTAATTTTCAGTTTCTTTCTTTCTTTCTTTCTTTCTTTCTTTCTTTCTTTCTTTCTTTTCCTTCCTTCCTTCCTTCCTTCCTTCTTTCTTTATTTATTTGTTTACACACTAGCTATTACATTTTCTTTCTTTTTTCTTTCTCTATTTTTATTTATTGCTACCAGTCTTCGTGAGATTCCATTCATT